CAAGCAGTCCTTACTTATCCATGCTGCTTTGCGAATGTATCAGCTTCATCTGTATGTTCTTTCATGTTCATGATCCATACGTCAGATAATTTTAGACACATTGATGAAAAACATTATTCTTTAGGCAAATTGGTACGTTCATTGCCATTATTATGCTAGTATAGAGATGAGGAAAAATCAAGTTTTACACATGTGATTTGGATATGCATCATGAGCATAAGAGTCGATATTCATCGACATGCCGATACATTGCTTCACCGCGACTGGCCACACTTTTCTCTTTAAATAAATGTACATATTCTAAAAATATATTTATTGTAACAAGACAAAACATGTTTACAAAAAGATAATGTCATTGTTTTTGTTTCTGTGTGAATTGTCTCCATTTGTAAAGTTACAGGGAAAGCCTAATTAAGATATTCTTGGTTCTTTCGGTAAAGTCACGTAGAAGGGAAACAATAAAATAATAAATATATAAAACAATAAAATTATCGCGAAGTTTCGACTGCAACACAAGCAATCATCATCAGGTGTGAAAACCACACAAATGTTCTAGCTGTGGTTTTCACACCTGATGATGATTGCTTGTGTTGCAGTCGACACGTCGTGATAATTTTATTGTTATATATATTTTATTATTTTATTGTTTCCCTTCTACGTGACTTTACCGAAAGAACCAAGAATATGAATCCCTGCAATCACGAAAGCTTTAAATCAAAACCTATTTAAGATCTCAAAAGTTTGTCAAAAATCCAAAACATAGTAAAATAAAAAAAAACATTTAACTCCGAAGTACTTTTGTTAAATTCCATTCATACAATAACAATAAATTAAAAGCATATGGTAATTAAACAAAGAACACATGAGACTCATTAGTGGTGTGAAAATACGAAGGTAAAATCATTAATGTTTTGTCATATAGCTTAACAGCTCAGCGTTGTTATAATTAAAAAAAAATGTTGATGAGTCAAAGTCATATGTGTTTCAAGAAGCCAGCTGCAAGTCCGTGTTAGGTTGCACTTCAGGGTTCGGTGAAAACGGAGAGCTGCACGTTTGGGGGGGGGGGGGAACGAAAAAAAACATCAACATCTGGGCAATGTCATTGCAAGAAGTCATCCATCCGAAGGATTGTGTAATGACTGCTCCGGAGCCAAGCCTTGAAAATTGACAAAGCTCGTTATTGTTTCGCAATATGTTGTGCGCTTATTTATTTCACAAGTCGTACAGCTTCGACTCTTGCAAATCTCTTGGACGCATGCCAGGCCGACCTCCTGATGCTGGCCTGCAGGTCCACAGATTTACGATATTAAATGTAAAGGTCTGAATGCACACAGTGTTGCGCAATCTATAGCTCTGTTTCGTATTCTGTACGTAGAGTCATCTTTGTCATTAATACGAGCATATGTTATTTTATCGGTATGACTGCTATTTTCGTTCTTTACAAACCGATTATTAGGTTTATGCAACTTTATAAAATCAAGTTTTCATTGATTGTGGCCAACTTCCCGAATTTGTGTTGTGTTAAGCACACATTTTGTTAAACAATTAAATTGCGATGCACATTGTGCATGTATGCCTAAGATGTAAAAATGGCACATGTCAGAACCCTTAAGTGACCCAAATGTTCAACCATTTGTAACACGAGTGTGGTGTTGAGATTTAGCGTGCACTCTTAAGAGCTGGAATGGGCCATAAATTAAAGGAATAACCTTTACTCTTGTAAGGCTGTCCCTGTGATGACACTCCATAAGCGTCTGCCAAATTCCACACCGCATGCAAAAACGGTGTCTTGAGTTTCCCCTGGTTTGGCGACCTTTGGGGCAAAGCTTAAGAGCAGGAAATTAAAATGTAAAAAAACTCTTTTGAATTCCATAAAATATGTATCGGGCGATGATTCTTATCAGAGCTGTTGGGAGATCCAGAATGAACTGATTATATTATTTGTGCATGTGGAACAGTTTTAAGAATGGCAACAGAAAATAATGACCGAAGTTTCTTTGTGCAATATATTTTTTTATTGAAATTGCATGGCTCCTCTAGCCCGGCTCTTTTTTAAGTACAGTTCCCCGGTTTGCGTAACATTCCATTAGATCGCAGTGTGTCACAGTCGTGTATGTTTACCCCACAGGTTAGAGGCATAATTAAAACTTTCAAGAAACTTGGGCGGGTTTTTGGCGGGAATAACGCGTCGCCGTGACTAGGGCTGATGATCGATGAGCCAAGAATAGTGGCGGAGTGACAACGAAGGAAATGGGATGTAAGACATGCCTTGGCCTTCATCCAGCAGCAGATTGATAATGGCTGACGGTGACGTGTACGTAAACTTAATAGAAAAACTGCTGATCAGGGAAAATACTCGACGCAAACTCTGATCATGCTGAATGCGTTTGCGCATAATGGTCCGCCGTAACGTATGAGTAGGCATATGCCGTTTGTGCGGAATGGGGTCCCCTAGATTTTATGGAGTGCTATTGCCAATCACATCTGTTACTCCAGCAGCATTAATTTAACAAGCCTGACTCTGCTGATGAGACCCAGATGTTTGAAACCAGTCCAGAGTTTGTTTTATTAAAACAAACGCAGCTTGGTGATATTGATCGGGAAAAGCCAATAGGCTGATGGACTGAGTCATTTTGTTATATACTGTATGCGTGGATGGACAGAACAGATTTTATGCTTATATGTGCTTTGATGGGAGGAAAGATATTTCCTGTACAGATAAGCTGTGGCAGAATCAAGTGTCCGGTGGGCTGATCGTTCTCTCGCCGAGTCGGTGATCTGATCATTTTGCTCTTCTTAGCAACGTACACGTCTTCCCAGTCGCAATACCGAAAGTTGTAAAACAAAGGGGCATAATAAAAAATGCATGAATGCCTTTCAAGGCACTCGGTAGATAATTTTTTGGGTTTTATTAAAGATGTATATTTCTTATATACGTAAGGAGGCCCCGTGGCAATGGAACAGGTATTTTTTTCTCATTCAAATCCTTTGTGGCGTCTGGTTTTGGAGAAGGTTTATAAATCTGCACCGTAATAGCCCAAAAGCCAAAGCAATGGTGAGTCATTTAAAATAACAATCTTGCAAGCAGCGCTGGTCTTGTGAAGGATGAATGTAACCCTATAAGGGCAGTTAACCCTCGTTCAGACTGCGGTCCCTTACAGTTATCTTTCTCAGGATATACTGTTTCAATGCGTTGAGGCTCCCTCATATGGTTAAGGCTTTCTCCTGCTTGAGCCTGCTTGCCAAGAAATGTAAACAAAGCTTGCATACACAGGCACTGTGCTATATGCAGCAAGAGTGCCTGCTGCATCGGCCCGTGCTGCTGCGGTTTCTTCCCTCCACGCCTCTCTGCCAGTCTCGCTGCTCCGGTGTCCATCTGCATTGCCCTTGGTGTTTTAGTTTGATCGCGTCGTCTTCCCATCACCCGTATTCTCGGCCTAGCTTGGGACCTCTGACTGAGTCGTACAACCTCATGTTGTGGCCTCTTCTCGACAACCCTCAGGCTTGCATGTGGTGCAGACAACTCTTCATGGCTATTTTAAGAAGTGTCCGTAGAAAAATCATCCTTCGATTATTCGATATTAACGTCAATGTTCAGGGGTTGTGCCCGTTGCACGGTGGTTAGCGCCAGTACTAAGATGCCGCTGATCTGAGTTTGATTCCATGTCATGTCTTACGTCAGTGGCGAGAGATATCCATACCCGATTTTGACCTCCATCCATCTTCACAAGCGTGCACTGACCAGTGTGGTGAAGTATGGCCAAACAGCCCCCATGACTGACGTCACGTGGAAAGGCCTTCATCAGGCGCCAAGTCAAATTTGTGCTGCACCGGGAAATCTGTCACTTAGGCTTATCGAGTTTAAAGCAATCCCAAACACCCGCGCGTAAGGGAGGGGGCTCTATCAGAACAAATAATTCGAAATATGTCCATGCTAATGGGCAACGTACTGACTTTGAGACTCCAAATACAACCGAGTACAAATGTAATGTATGCCTTGAAATACATCTTTATTGCATCTTGCACACTGTGCTGTTTATGGCGACAACTTCTATACGTGTAATTAAACATTCACCCCTATGCCTGCAACACGATCTTTGTTGTTTAACACTGTATTGTGAAATCAAGATTATGGAGTTGCTACTTGGTTCATGCTGAACAAATTTGGTTTGATGGCACTGCCGTTTCTCTTCCTCGTGATGAAAACATGCCACCGCGTCCTCGGGGCCAGTTATTAAAATTGTCGCATCCAAGACATCAATACAGTATTTATAGGAATATAAACCATTTATATTTTTTACAAATGACGTGGAACATGTTTGTTGTTTCCGTTGTTGTATGGGAATATTACTAACCTACATTGTAAAATAACAATCAGAAGTTAGCAAAGTAAAATAGACACTAGTTTATGTATTTGCGTTGGAATGGTTAACAACCGTAAAAGGCAAAACGCTGAGTTCTGAGATTTTATTCTTTGGGTCTTTCGGTAAAGTAACGTCGATAGGTTCAAAGAAAATTACAAAATTAAAAGTTTTCTTGTCATTTTGTTATTTTCTTTGAACCTATCTACGTGACTTTACCGAAAGACCCAAAGAATATGAATTCCTGCAGTCACGAAAGCTTTAAGTCAAGATTCTTGCGATCTTCAAAATAAAGTAAGAAGAAAAGTGTTTATTCACCATTGTACCAACATGTATATAGCATATATTAAAAAGGTTCATGTACAGCCTTGCAATTACGTGCTCACACGACTGCCGGCAGAAGTGCCTCTACAAAAGAGAGCTTTAGAGAGCCACTCTCTTGCACGCCAGCCAAATGCCTTGAAAGTTCGTGGGAATATCCAAACATTACTCCACCACACGGGGCCTGCTGATCGACTGGTGAGCCCGTTTACACTGCTGAGTGGACATTTCCCGTCGTCCTCTCGAGGAGAGCCCGTTGCTGCCTGCGTCGAACACGCCGTTGCCTGCCCCCGTCTTTTGGCTCCGTGCTCTGTTCAGCAGGAAGTGCTTCCGACTCCTGGCCTGCCACTCGTGCGTCGTCTTCTCGCTGGTGTCCGCTCTGCTGCTGCTCCAGGCTTCCCACCATGTGACCCTCCAAAGCCGCCAGTCGCCGTCTCGGCAGTCGCTCCTGCAGCGGCTGCGTCAGACCGTCGCCGGCCAAGCGCGACCGAGCCAGGCGGAGGCGGCCGGCCAGCGCGCTCGGAGCCTTCTGCCCGTCGACCGCGCGGGCACCGAACGCCCGGGCGGCATGGAGGAGGGGGAGGCACTCCGGTGGCCGACCGCCATCGGCCACGCAGCCCCCGGACAAAGAGATGCTCAGAAATTCGCCGCCAAAAACGCGGCCGCTGGAAAACCACGGGCCCCGCTCCCAGGTGGTGTGCGTCTGGATGAGACGCGTCTGAACGGAACCCACAGAGTCAACAAACATTCGGCTCCGACGAGGGACAGTGACAGTGAGTCCCCCCCCCCCCTCCAGCCACCCCCACCCCTCCAGCCCCCCCCCCCCCTCCAACCACCCCCCCCTCCAACCACCCCCCCCCCTTCCAACCACTCCCCAGCCTCCAGCCACCCCCCCAGCCCCCGCCCCAGCCACCCCCCCAGCCACCCCCAGACACCCCCCCTAGTCTCTGCCCCCCCTCCACCCCCCCCCTGCCACCCCCTCCAGCCCCCCTCCAGCCCCCCCCCCAGACACCCCCTCGAGCCCCCCCCCCCTCGAGCCCCCCCCTCGAGCCCCCCCCTCCAACCAGCCCCCCCGTTCCAGCCATCCCCCCCCCAGAAACCCCCAGCCCCCCGCCTGCCATCCCCCCAGCCTGGTTTACAGTGAGGCGGGGCATTATTTGGAGATGCGTTTAAAATAGTTGACGTGTCTTGAACAGCAGCAGTATTATTTAAAGCCGACAAGGTGGAAACTCGAATTAATAAAAAGGATTTTTTTTTGTCCCGACTATATATCATTCTTGTTTATGCCACAATTAAGCTGTCACGTCTGTGCCCTTCAATTGCACGATACTGTCTTTAAAGTCACTTAAACGTCTATAACCAATTACAACGACTATGCTACTCCGATGCATTTCCGGGTTGTGCCGTGCGTTGTCTGGCGCTATGTCCGATGTTCCGCTCCACGTGCTGGTGAGCTTTTTCAAGAACCGAGGCGCAACGGAGCTCCCAGCACATTGCAGCAATACGTTGTACATAATGCCGAACAATATGCGGTCAATCCCCGAAACACATCGGAGAGCAATTACAACAATAATCGTAGCAGAACGAGCAAATCGTTTCTGGAATGTGCCAGATGGGTAGATGTATTGTTGCCACGCTCTGCCCCCCCCCCCTTAAGCTCAGAGAGGTCAAGGTCACAAGATCGATATAAATGACACCGGGGAGGCGCGAGAAGGATTGAACAGCAAACCACATGCCGAGGACCTGGGGGGCTGGTGGCACCTTGTCCCCGGCACCAACATCTACCTGCTCTCCGCTCATCTCGATGATCGCTTCAAGGTGGGTGGCTCAAAATTGCAGAGTTTTCACAGCGGGGGGGGGGGGGGGGGGGGGGGGGGGCTTGGGCTTTGTGAGGCATCGCCGCTCCGTACGTAACCGCAGCCGTAAGTGTGCAACAAAGGGAGCATTTTGATTTTTCGTCGCGAATAACCCGAGGCATGCAAATCCATCACGCGTGGGGCGGCATTCGGCGCGGCCAAATCGCGTCGCCTCTCGCGCCGCCGCCGCGTTTGACGGAGCAGTGCAATGCGCCATTTCGCACGCCGCAGGCGTAGGGAGGGGGATATAATTGGGCCATTCATTTGAGTTCAACAACGTCTCACGAGTTGCCATACACATGGGGTCTCGTGATTTTGGTGACCCTGTTGGTGGCCGGGTGAGCGATGTTCCCGACAGCATGCGAGGCGCGTTTAATGACGCAGAATTCCCTAAATTTGCACCCATTTGTGTTTTTTTTTACTTGGACTCGTGACGCGACCTCTCCTGAAGCGGCTTTGTTTGGTTCCTTATGACTGACCTTCGTCCGTCCACTCTGGCCATTGGTTTAGGGAACAAAATTGGCCATTGGTTTTTGTATTGAACAATTCTGGCACAGTGGGCTTGGCAGGATTGTATATTCGTTACGTTTGTCCATTGATAATATTGGACCATTGCACAAATTCTCGTGGTCCATTGTCTGTTTTTTTTCCTATTGAGCTCATCTTTGGTCAGGTTAGACCACTTCAGGCATAGTTCTCTGCCATTGTGTGAAAATGTTTCCGCATGTGTAATTTTATCTGTGGCTTAAAGTAATCTCCGTGCAACTCTCCATGGGTTGCAAAATCTCCATTGTCCAGAAAGTATGGTTCTGTTCAGAGCAGGTGACTAAAATGTATGAAGTGAATTTATCAAATTAATTACGTGGTCAGGTTTGGGGAGCTAAAAAAATGGATTGTAAAAGTAAATGAAAAAAACACGTAGGTTTGTAAGAAAACAAAAACAGACTTTAGTTGTCAAATTTTCCCAGAATAAAACCTTCAACATGTAAATACATTATACTTTGGCAGTTTAAAGCCCTGAATGGTTTTGGGGATGCGTTGCAGATGGGTGCGTTCGTGCGGATCCTGACGGTTTCACCGCGCAAAGAGGACCCTAACCTGTGCTGCACTCACTGGCGTCAAGGCAAGAGAAATACGACCATCCGCATATATGAGCGGGAACTGCATCCAGCTCATTATGGCTACAGGTACGGGAGGCTTCAATGACATCGGAGCTATCTTTAATGAAATTCATTCATGTTGTTTCATACATAAATGACATCGCTTATGACCATTCAATTCACAATACATTGAGTTGTGTGCCAACACCTGGTATCCTGCTGCCTAGCAAAACATTTATTTTGTAAAACACCCGTAACATTTTTCTCGCCCATTTCGAATTCTCAGAGCCAGGCAATTTTTGCCCACTTTTCTTACAACGAGGTTCAAGCCATGTTTGAGGTTTGATAGCAGTGTGCACACTTCTCCGTTGACCCTAAGACCCCTATCCAACATGCAAGCTACGCCAGCGCAGGGCTTTCGCGATGTGGGCGATTTCCCAGTGGCTCATTTGCCGAGCTGAGCCAGAACCACACTCTAAAACTGGAATCTGGCATGGGGCCAAGCACGGCTCGGGTTCTGCAGTGGAAAAACAACCTGACACCTCGTGAGACTGGCTCGGCACGGCCACCACTTGACTCAGTTGTGCAGTTGAATAGAGGTAGAAAACGACCGTATGAAGTACCAGGCATCTATGCAGCAGTGCACAACTACTGTAAATTTGCAATATCCTAACCCAAATGCTGATGGCATCCCCTGCTCAGTGGGGAACTGTAATGGCTGGGGGTGGCCCATAACACATTGTGTAGGTAGCCTAATAACAAGGCCCCGAGCGGTTGAAGGTGAGGCCCAGTGCATTTCCTGGACAAAACATGGAGGTTCTGCAACTTATGTGTAAGTCCCAGGTGAGCTAGCACATGGTACTGGCAGAACATTGACGGTCCAGGATAGCCCATAAAAATACCTGGGCAGCTCAGCACAAGGGCTGGCAAAGCCACAGTAAGACGAGCCAGACAAGCTCTCGCAGGGAATGCCATGAACAGCCAAAGTGAGATGCGTGTGGGACAGGGCAAGGTGTGGGCTGATCACACAATAACAAAGTATCTAGATCTGTGTAAGTTATACCCTGCAAAATCATGCAAGCAAACCAACCCACAACCAGTCAGGTTCCAGACCGTTTTGTTTACGTTTTTAAATTACTTTTGATGCAAATAACTCTGAAAGTACAGCAAATCTGTGTGTTGATTATTATATTTTATAATATATGACCAGACATATACCCCAAAACAAAATCGACAGCTACGTGGCTACAATCTATACAATTGTTCACGTTCACTGAAGCATCAAAAAAAAATCCAAGCGTAAAAATAGTACCGTTGGTGTTGCTCGTGTAAGTCTAACTGAAATGTGCTGGGACAAACGTCATTATCTTGTCGGAACATCGTTCATGCTTTTGATACTCTGTCAAACAACTTGTGGAGTGGCGATGTCCCGTGTCATCTAGCGGGTGCAGAACAATGACCAAACTCACAACAACATTTCTCTCGTGCAAGTCTGCCACGCAATGAATGTGTTTAATTGGAAAATTTTGCCGTGTTTTTTTTTGTTGCAAAACATTTTCTTGGGCGACACGTTCTTCGTAAAATCGATCGTCTTGACTTGCCCGTAACTTTGGTAAAAAAAAAAAACATTCCACTACTGCATTGGAGGTGTAGCGGAAGAATAATGTACGATAATGCAACAAATTTGTCTTTTTAGGAATCACAAAAAAATACTTGCGAAATTACTTACCCACATTAGTTGGAGAACAATCGGTTACATTTGCGATCAACTCTAACTTATCCCAACTTTTACATTATGAGACCTCCTTTGCCAGTAACAAGATATAGTAATAGGTTTTACCCTTTTAACTGCCAGTTAAAAGGGTAAAACCTATTACTTTATCCCAACTTGTGGAGGCTAGCAAAGCTACAAACACGCGTTTCACTGAAGATTTACTGATAGAAAAGGTAAAAGTCCAGCCCTGAAATTGATTTTTTCATACCTTACATGCTGGCCAGACAACTTGTAAGAAGTGAGAATTTTACCCACGCGTTGATTCACCGCATGCAAACCCGCTAGCCAAAAGTGTAATCACATAATAACTGCACATTAAATCGCACAATGGACACTTGAAGCCATCTATGGTGGTATTGTTGATTAAATAAACTTATGAGAACCAGATATTTGCATACATGCTCCTTTGGTGAATAGTCCTGGCACCGAAACAATACGTTTTGTAGTGGTGAATTCATTCGCATTTGCGTAAAACATCGGAACGCCTAAGTAGCCAAGTACACCTCAAGAATGTTTGGACATCTGATGCATATCTATGGACACGATGAAATGCAATGCCAGCGCTAAACATAGAATTGTGCAGAGCTACGTGCACTACAATGGGGTACACATGAGCCTCTGTTTATTTAATTAATAGGCCACGTCAATTAAATCTGGTTCGGTGACTCCCGAAACGCGACCTGCTCTGCCTGTTGCCCAACATTGGTCCCTGACAAACGAATACAATGGGGTCGTCGTTATCGTGATGTCATAACTAATCTTATCCCATAATCCCATTGCTTCACTGCCTCTTAAGCAAACTTCCAAGTCTGCTTTATCATCAGCCCAAATCAAAACTGTTGAGGTTAAAGCAAAAATAAAGGTGCATGTTTTTTTTACCGTGATAAAGACAGGCCAGCCTTCATTATTTGTTTTCAGCATTTGGGCGTTTTGGATATCGCTGTTGACAGTGGTTACACTGATGTGACATCACTTCATCCTGCCAGAGGGCTGGTTGATGTTCTACAACCATGCGATGTAAAAAAAATCGCATCCAATCACAGAGCTGATGGATATTCAGATGGAGAATTTTCCCTCTTTCAGTTTTCAGTTTAAGTTTTCAGTTGCATTTATTAGGTACAAGCTTTACTACCCGGCTTCGCCCGGGACTTGGATTCACGACGCCCGGCCGCCTTTGTCTCCCCAGTGGCGATGTTCACACAGCACCCCAGTTACTCGTTTGAGGCTGAGTCAACCTAGGGGAGGCCCAGGATCGGTTCAAATAATCGTCACCGGTGGTACCTGTGGTTAGCGCAGCGCACTAACCACAGGTACACATACACGCGCTTGCTGCAGACACACACAACTTTCATGGTGCATACGTCAGTAAACGACTGAAATAATAAAGCAACGCTGCGCGAAGAACGCCTTAGACCTGCAACACATTTGTATTTCACTTTACCCGCCATCAGCAGGCACACTCCGTTTCGCTTCCGCACACGGGTCACATGACACATGTGACGTCACAGCTCACTTGCCGTGCAAAAAATATACCCATTATTGAGCCCCCCCCCCCCCAAAAAAAATACAAAAGATAATTTTATAATTTTTGCATGGTGTATAGCCTGGAAAGTACTCACATGGCAAATTTCAAGTTTGTTGCATGTCGGGAAGTACGCTAAACATTTTGAACAGACACACATAATCACGACTCTGCCTTTTATATATATAGAGATAACCCCATGCGGCTCTTGACTCGAGTGCAACCGTAACAAAACAAAAACCTGAACAAGAAACATCTTCAAGTGACTACACGCAGCAGAAAAATCCTGGGAAAAAACAGCAAAGTCTTCCAGAAAAAACACCGCTGTACATGTATGCATCTTAAACAACATACTGCCATATCCAGTGCATTATTTCACATTTTACCAGAGGAATGTACGGTACAATTGATTTATATTTAATTGGCCGAAGTTGGTGCTTGCAACCCCATCTTTCAGAACAGTCTTTGAGAGCCAAAGTCCAACATTACAACACAGAAGATGTGAGTCACACTAGCATTCACCAGCCAGTATGCTCGAATCTCCTGGGAATAATCTTACGAGTCTTTCTCTAAAAGTATTAATCCGCCATCTTCTGTATCCTCCAATAGACAGAGCGGCCGGAATATCAGCACATAGGGTTATTATATTTATTTTAACAAATGTTAAAACTTTCTTCCATTAACATGAATGCATGCATTAATAACTTTTTTTATTAGGACTTGTTTTCGTATTTTTAGGAGTAATCTTTGAACATTCATCAATTATGTTTCGTCTCAACTCGTTCAGGGTTCTTGGTCGAGTTTTTGGAAGCGACAGATTGAGGTGACCCCCCACAGGAAGAATTATGAACAATGATAACAGATAAAATATCAGAATAAACAATTAAATAGTATTCATGCTAGTGTTAAAATAAATCAAATAACCCTATGTGTCCTGACTTTTGGGCCACCCTGCGTAGTGTCGCACGTGGAAAGAAGAACACTCAGACGTTTACGCGCTGCGTGCAAACATTCCCTCCTCCATCCTCCTTCGTCCGTAGTACCCCACCTGCGTTTGAACGCACGAGCTGTTCATGCTGCGCTAAGAAAATAAACGGACGTGCAGCCAACGTTTCAAGGAAAGTGACCAAAAACGTTTCAAAAAGTAGTGGTGTGTGGTAAGCAGTTGGCCGACGCTGTGTCTGCGTGTGTTGTGTTTGGCCGGCTTCCTCGCTTGGCATGTTAACGCCAGTCACCCAGACGTGTGTCACGTGTAGTAACGGCCGATTCAGATGGTGAAAACCAGAAGTGGAAAATGCTAATTCAGTTGGCCCCCGTATAATGAAGTTACATTGTTGAAAAAGTTGAAAGCACATCGTCATCTGGGCAACGAGAAGGATAAAATGATCACCTATAGCCCCTTGTCAGTCCACTGCTTTATAAAGGCCTCCCCATGCTCTGTCAGTTTTGTCGAGGTTGTTTGACCATACTTCCCCATGCTGGTCAGTGTTTGCCATGGCCAGGATTCGAACTGGTTCTGTAGCGCAGTGTACCAACCACTGCGCAGCGACGTTCACGACCCGGTCTACACGATGTGACTTTGAAATATAAAAAAAACATCCTCCTCATTGTGAGCATCAACAGACTTCCTGCAAAAGTAGCTTAGGGAGAAATATATAGACCCGGCGATGCGACGTGATCTTCACCTCATCGGTGCTTGAGGCGCGCTCTGTGACAACTGCGCAATGTTATTGTGCGATATCATTGTCGTTTCAGGTACGCGGTTCACAGCCTGGTGTGTCTCATTCCCCCGTGGCAGTCGCCGCCCGACCGCGTGTCGGTTGCCCTGTGCAAGCTGGATCCACCGGCAGAGAGCGAAGGCCGCACCTCGCTACTCGTGCACCGCCCGACGGGCCCCAAGGTAGATTTTGCCGTGTGCCTGCCCATGCTCTTTGGCCGCTACGATCGGCTCCTTCACCTGCTTCAGAGCGTGGAGTTCTACCGCCTTCTGGGCGCGAGCCTGGTCACCGTGTACAACTACAGCCTGGGCCCGAACGTGGACGCGGCACTGCACCTGTACGCCAAGGCGGGACTGGCGAATGTGCTGCCCTGGCCGGTAAGCGAGCATCTCAACGTGTCCACGGGATGGCGCCTGAACCGGAACCCCGGCGACGTCCACTACTACGGGCAGATCGGCTGCATGACCGACTGCCTGTACCGCTCGGCGCACCGCGCCCGCTGGGTCTTCATGAACGACATCGACGAAGTCGTGGTGCCGCACGCCTACGCCAACTGGAGTGAGATGGTGAGCGCCCTGTCTCCGGTGGGTGGCGAGAGTAACGGCGTGCAGCGCTTCTCCGTTTTCACGTTCAAGAACGGCATCTTCCCACTGGAGCCACACGCCATCTACCGCAAGCTGCCCGCGCGCGCCTGCGTGCACGAGACCGAGGCTGACGTGGACTACTTGCGCACGCTCAGGCTCGTTACGGATGGCAGGGCGACCAAGGTGCTGGTGGACTCGCGCTCGGTGGTGCACCAGGGCGTCCACCGCGCCGACACGCTGCTGCAGGGCGCGCTCGTGCTCAACGTGCCTGAGCAGGCGGCCCTGCTCCACCACTACAAGTCCGTTGGGTCGGCGCTGTTCCAGCCGGGGACAGAGAACGTGACGGAGGACCGGGCGACGCTGCTCTACAGGGAGCGGCTGCTTCCCCGCGTGCACGCCATGCTGGCCCTGCTGTGCGCGCAGGGCGGGCCCCACGTGGTGCCCAAGCAGGCGTCCAAATCTGCTAAACGCCCCACGAAAAAGCGGCCCAAGACGTAGAGAGCGCTCCGCGCGTAACGACGCTTTGTTTTTCTTCTCGTCAGTTTTCCCATTGTGGGAGCTTTGATGGAAGACTTGATGAAAACAAAACAGTATATATTCTTTAAGAAAAAAAACCTTTTATACTTGACTCACTTTTTATTGAGATATTTAGTTGGTTTTGTCACTGTGAATGTGCAACGCCTGGGTGCCAACACTAATTAAGGAAGGGTACGATCTCCAACATAAATTACACGTTTGTGATTACAATGTGGTAGATTTGTAAAATAACTGGCCTTTAGTCTGATTTTAATTATTTTTTTCCAGGTAGTATATACATCCTAGAAAGCTGCTTTATGGGATAGGTATTTTAAATTTGAGCGGTGGTGCACTACTACTGCGCTGTGAATCGAACTAATCAAATTTGGTTCCCGGCCACGGCTCACATCAGTGGCGAGTGATATTTGAACTGGTCTTGAATCAGCGCTCTCCCACCTCCCCTCGCCCCTCTTCACTAACCCAGCACTGACCAGAGTGGTGAAATATAGTCAAACAACCCCCACGACTAACGCAGCTTCAGGAAGAGGCCCTTATCGAGTGGTGGATTGACAAAGAGCTGACATTTTACTCATGTTATTTTATACTACGGGATTCAATATCTTAATGCAACCTCATCTCAAGACGCCACACAAAATGGTGGGACATGCACACAGGTTTGTTCGTTGAGATGGGTTACCGCTAGTATAAATAAAAGACTGCACATTTAAATTTACGCAAGCTATAATAGGCTAATGGCCAACTCTGCACCCGATTGGCAATGCGCTCTTGCAATCGGAAAGACAGATTTGCGGTTTGTGATGTCCTCTTAACCATGCAAGAAATCAAGACTGGCTGTTATTCTCATAGGATGTATCGCTGAACTTACCAGGCCACGTTTTTGCATATTTACAACGCACATATAAGTAAAAGCTAAGGTGCAGCTCTGCAATTGCTTGCTCACGCTCCTGCTGGTGGAAGGGCCTCCCACTAGACAGTGCTACAGAGCCCTTCTCGGGGGTGTTTTTTCGTGGCCGACTCTTCCATGCTGGCCACATGTCTCGGAAGAAGTGGGAGTAACCCCACACGTTAACCCCATTACAACCGATCTTCAGATCGACTAACTGGTGTGCGGTAGAACCCCTTTTAACGACGGCAATTGGTTCCATGAAACCGGTCGTTAAATGATTTGGTCGTAAAGCGAGGATAGGAAATATATGTGAAAGGCTTAATTAGTTCCGACAGCTATCGAAAGTTACCTTTTTTCACCCAAAAAGTACTTTATAATACTTAAACAATGTATATTCACACATAAATATACTAACAACATAAACACATAATATTAAAAGGAAACATGGTTAATCAATCAATTAGTTAATATTTACTTTACCTGCAATAGCTCATCGTTAACAGGGAAATGGTCGGTAAGCGAACATATTGGGCTCTATGGGGGCACTACACAACTATACACTACGCTATACACTACACTACTATACACTACACATTGGGCTCTGTGGAGGCCCGTCGTTAAGTGATTAGTCGTTGACAGGGGTGGTCGCTAAGAGGGTTCTATTGTACTCGTTTATACTGCAGGGTGGACAGAGGAGGGTTTGATTGAATAAACGTGGGCCCTTTGTTTCAACTGCTGTACCGGGAGATTGAACTGGCAACCCCTCCCGATACACACACACATATGCATATGTATATTGAACTTCTTTCGCGCGGTACATAGCCAACCGTACTATTGGAGGTGCGGGGTAAGCAAGTGGTGAGCACACTGGACTCGCAGTCTACAAGACATAAGCTAAACCATCATTTGTACTCCGTTGGACTTGGATTTTTCTGATTAATAAATTTAGCGTTAAATTTCGATTTAAAGCTTTCGTGACTGCAAGGATTCATCTTCTTTGGTTCTTTCGGTAAAGTCACGTAGAATGAGAATAAAATAATAAATTGATAAAATAAAATAACACAATAAAATTCTCACGACGTTTCGGCCGCTTGTGTTGTGGCCGAAACGTCATGAGAATTTTATTGTGTTATTTTATTTTATCAATTTATTATTTTATTCTCATTCTACGTGACTTTACCGAAAGAACCAAAGAAGATAATTTAGCGTTGTCCGATAGCTAACAGCCAATGCGATCCGAGCACTAAATATCATGCAATGTCCATCTCCGGCAAATCTAATGGGATGAATCTTGATGTCGTTCAACAACAGTAAGAAATGCCTTGCGTTTTGTTTTCTTTTTTCAATATCGGCCAATGAGTTATCGTAGCGGATGATCTTACACGGGTGTTTTTTTTTTATTTTTGGCACGATTTTTCCGTGGAGAACTGACGGCAACGCAACACATACGCTGCGTGGCTCATCCCCATTTGGCACTATAAACCATGGTGACCACGAAAAATGTGTGGCAACGTTCGTGGATGCAAAGTTCTTTGAAATTCCTGAGGTGTTTTTTTTCCCTTGAGTTACACTGTAGAGGCAGATGTTACTGTGCGCGCGTGTGCGCGTTTATATCGCCTGTGCTCGCTCAGCCGTACGCACACGTCCCATTTCTACTGGATATGGGTTTTTGGTTTTTAATTTTATTGTTCGCTTCGGTTTGAACTGCTCCAGGTCGGTGCACACAATCGTGTGTTCTGCGGTGTATTGAATGTATTTTTTTGTCTACACCTGCCATTGCTTCTGGGAGGGAAGTTTTTCGGTGACGTTAGCAGTGATTTTTTTTAGGAGATTTCATATCGCGGTGGCAGCTTCTCTCGCTGATGTGGTTCGATGACTATTTTTAGACCGTTAGGTTGGTTCACACAGGATTTTTGTTGACCTTCTTTCGCCGAACGTCACGCATCTTTTGTTAAGTAATAACCTGTTCACACCGTGGTGGGGTAAGCTTCTTATCATTAGGTTAACGCGGTGTACGAGTGTGTTCATAGTTTGCAAGCGGTAGCATCGTGTGGGGCTGGCGCTCTGCACTACAAATCCGGTCAGCTAAATATGAGCTCGCTAACTTCACTCACACCAAAATGATATAAGGCTACATGGCACATATTCGTCTTTGTGTAATAGTTTGGGACCATTTAATGTCTAAATTAGGTCCAAACTATGAACCTTTATGAGTGCCAATCTAAATTTGAATTTTGTTTTATCTCTGATCGATGATGTGATATCATTACAAAGTATTGCATTAACATCTCTTATGTTTGAGCAATTTCACTTCGTCAACAAACTGACAATGAACTCAGAGATTGACACTATTTACATCGTCGCAATTGTCTTTTTTCCTTACGTCCCTGAATTAAGATGTTGTATCTTCATTACTGCCACCCAATAAGCCTCGTTTTTTTCATTCAAAGCAGTTGGCTCCACCCACTGTGTGCTACCCCAACGCTGATTGGCAGCTGCCACTGCGCAAACCGATCCGCGAGTTAAAGCGCCACACTCGACGACACCGGAGGCGCCCTTGTGATTCGCCAGGGTAGCTTCAGCAAATCCTCTGTGAACCGATCCTTGCACAACATGGAAAGAAGGCGTGGCGCTGTTGTTCACGATGTCCTATCACCTGCACGCGGCTGTGCAAGATTGCTCAACCACGGGGGTGAAATGACCTATAAATATTATACTTTTTTTTAGTCACCGTTGGGCCAAATTTCTACTAATGTTGCCCTTCGTATTGTTGCGATTTTATGCCGCCCCCCCCCCCCCCCCCCGTGGCATAGAATGTCAACACGTTGACAAAACCCTATGGCAAATCTGATAGTGTTATGGGAGTTGTTTATGTCCTCGTGGTTTGTGTCCCGAGTAAAACAAATATATAGCTTTTCGGTAACATTACAGAAGAACAAAACGGAACACGGCAGTATGAGCCAGAGGGGTACATGCAGGACGTTGATCTCTGTAATCCCTGGTCCACGATATATAATCCGGAGAGGAGCCGTAGAGCGAAGCAAGGGGGGAGAAGGTTAGGAGGTGAGATAAATGAACAGTGGGGGAAGAGAAGGCAAGGGTGAAGAGAAGAGTTAACATATTTTCTTTGAGCGTACATCGCCTGCATGTTTCAATTTTAATACGGAAAAACAAATACGTACTTTTTGATTTAAAGCTTTCGTGACTGCAGGGATTCATATTCTTGGTTCTTTCGGTAAAGTCACGTCGAAGGGAAACAATAATCTTTTTCTCACTGTGGTTTTCACACCTGATGATGATTGCTTGTGTTGCAGTCGAAACGTCGTGAGCATTTTATTGTTTTATATTTTTATGATTTTATTGTTTCCCTTCTACGTGACTTTACCGAAAGAACTAAGAATATAAATACGTACTTTTTTGCAACGTTGAATTATTTACGTTCCAGCAGTCTTGTGGGCTCAAGCATGACATTTTCATGAGAACAATGTTTTGTATATTTTACTGTTTGTCTCTATTCCCCGCAGCTATGTTTCTGTGCATTGGTGGATTTTCCTTGGGTCGGCTGTGTAGCTGTGCGAGCGCTGATTTCAATAATGATTCCCATCTCGTATGCAGAACTTGTACAAGAAGTCACATTTGATATCACAGGCTGCGGTCGACTGAGCCTTGTGCCTCCCAGCTATTCGGTTTAAAGCACCAGTGGAGAGCGTTCGCATCCCACAGTTGTACTTTAAAGTCGGCATCCCAAGTATTCAGTTTTTGCCTGTGAAATTGGTTTGAATTAGCTGCGCGCGGTGCGCATTTGCAGCTGTTTCGTGGGAAATGTGCACAAAACCACGATACGCTGCGTGGTTTTACGTAGCAAACGGAGTTTTTAAACGCACGTTGGCCAAATCCTCGCAATATAGGACCATAGAGCTCGCATAAAGGTTAGCGCTGGCTCTTGCTGCCTTACCGCTTGCCTATGGTTCCCTACGCCTCTGAATCATGCCCTCTCTCTCTCGCTGAGAGTCAACGAAATCTGTGTACATTACAAATTCAAAACATTATTGCAAACTATATATTTAAAAACAAAAAAATGTTATCCAAGCATCTACTCCGTATCGAGTGAAGTGCATGTGTGCGACTGGCTTCGTATATAGGAACACTCCATTACCTCAGTGCCTTGCATTCCCTCTCACGTGGTTGTTTTGAACGTAAACTGTTTATGGTATCACTGCACAAAGCACCCTTGTGTATACAGCTCAGGGCTGGATCCAAGTAGTGCAGCATCATACCATGTGCTCAATGTGCACTGCCTTAATTGCTTCGGGCACTCATAGCTTGCACATAAATGTTTGCCGTGTTGATTTAGCATGTTTAATATGGCCCCGAACTGTGAGCACATGTTAATACCACAAGCAGAATGGTAATTCAAGGAATTAATGTTTGATCCAGGCAAATGAAACGCGTGTGTGTAATTCATTGGGAGGAGCCATGGCCACAGTGGCTAGCGCACACCGTGCTGTGAAACTGGCGACAATGCAACGAGCTGGAAATTATCTTATTATCACCGTATGTAATTCATAATATACACTCGTGTGATTTATTAAAATTCTAAAAATGATAGTCCGTTTCATTGAGCTGATCCCATTCGGATAGAGTCATAACGGTATTCTTCATAGAAGGATGACTGTAAATTTATTATGAAAGTTTTAATTCAAATTCGACTTCACACTTTGGTCTTGCTCAACTCTGTCTACCTGTCCTTTGGCCATCTCGGGCAGCCCATGAATTTCTATTTATCGCATGCCTATCAGATTTGCTGAACAGCTTAAATATTTTAATTCTTCCTTTTTGCCATCCGCCCAATGTGCCTGACAGCCCATGATTAATTCTGCTGTAGAATACTCTACTGGGCTTTTGTTGCCTTCAAAGAGAGGTATCGCAGGTGAGATATGGGTACACGCAAACCACGGATGCAAAGTAGAATGTTTATATCTTCTTACCAAAAATAGGTACAAGATTTCTTAACATCGGGTGAAAGAATCATGCTGCAATGGAACTCGTATTATCTACGATCTTGTTATCCGTGACTCCTATTGCCGGTGAAAACTAAACGGTCCACGAACCTGCCTATTTGCGATTATCCGCGATTCTTGTTGCAGATGTGTTTGCAGATAACATCGTGCAGATAACATCGTGCATAACAGGAATCTGTCGATGTTCATCCCCCACCTCACCGTTAATGTGGAGTTCTAGTCTATTAATATGCCATTCCAATGCCTGAGGAGTTATCAGCACTTTACTGTTGAATAAATGTATAATATATTTCTGTTTAATTTACTCAATCGTGGGTATAAATTATGCTTGTTAAAACCCGTAGGGGTTTTTTTTTTTGCATCGTGAAAAGGCAGTGACTGGATTCCTGCACGTCAACAAAACGTCGAGCAATAAACGTAACAGGATTTACCTTGATGCCGCCGCCGCGGAATAATGGTTGGCATGCCGGACTTACAATCCAGGGGTCACGCCGGTTCGATCTTCCGACGCGCCACTGGTAACAATGGGTAACGCCACGGTCACGTCAATCGGCAGGTCACGTGTAGCGTGGTCGTGTGGGTTGTGCCCCCCCCCCGCTACCTCTTCCAAAATGTTTTTTTGCACATTCCAATCATTGCATACGTGACCAAAATTCCACTTGAAACGATTGCGGGTTCCTGACTTTTGGGACCAGTAATTGATTCTGAAAA